ATATATATATAAGGTGTACAAATCTATATATTGGCTTAAATCTAATCTAAATGCCTCTTGTAGCTACTTGTATTTTATATTTAATCTTAACATATTTACAGTCTAGTAACCAGGACAACTGCTTGTGGGCCAAATCAAACGGCTTGGAGGGCCAATTTTGGCCCGCGGGCCCCACTTTGGGCACCTCTGCTCTAAACAAACACTAAACTTTAGTGTCATCACAGCTTCTATTAGTCTTACTGTACATGACACTTACAAATGAGTTTTTCTGCTTATCAAAAATAAAATGACTCCACATGACTGGAAGTGCAAATTATTAGCATAAACAGAAATGGAGGACTTCCTGTAAGAAAGCAAATACCAAACGGAGTGTGAAGAACAAACACTTGGGGCAAACACTAACTTAAGAGAAAAAAATATATATCATTGGGCTCTTGAGGAACATTTCATTGATTCTTGCATWGGTTTCTGTTTTACTAATGAACTGCTGCTAGCCTGTTACTGTGTTTAGACCAGAAACATATCAGTGTTTAATGTAGCTGCTTCTGTGCCTGCAGACTCACCGATGCCTCAARACTGCCATCTTTTGATAACAGCAACTAAAGAAGCCTCCTCGTGTTCAGACATCTCACACAGAGGGAGAGCTTCAATAAAACTGCTTCTCATAAAACAAATTWAAAAAAATAAAGGCCAGCAAATATCACCGCACTGGCTTTCTGTACATCTGAGCGAGGAAAAACATCTCAGCTGAATCCTTTCTGCTGGCGTTTGGCTTTAAGGGCCGGACACTGCCAAACGCACTCGAGAGTTTCTCCTGGAGATGATGAGTGAGTCGCCCGTCCCATAATTTACACAGCAGAGAGCCCTGAGGCTGCAGAATCCTGTCAGCCAAGTCTATCAAAGACAAACACATTGTGATGAGCCTCTCYTGGTCCATCTCTCTGAAGCCGCAGGCGTTGGGCGCCATGTCGCTCAAAAGGACGTGCGCCTGGCCGCCGGGGAGCAGCTCCTGCAGCTTGGCGCCTGTGGCCGGATCCGTGACGTCGTGACTAGACAAGAAGTGGGCACCGTCGAGAGGCGGGATGTGCAGCAGATCAGCGCCAACAACCGTGCCACGTGGTGAGTTTTGTTCTGAGACGATAGGAAAAACAGYATGGTCCGTTCATTTCTCCTTTTAGTCTCTTTAGTTTTTGCGTGCCACAAAACAGCTGCACGTAGCAACTAGCAGACACTAAAGGTTTTCTAAAACACAGCGGATTGAAAGAGAGACACAGCATCTAATTTTAAACGCTCCCTCCGTGGTTCATAATTTGTTTTCCTATTGCTGTTAAAATCTACGTTGATATTAATATAAAAATCAAACRAGTGTTTTAAGGCATGTTTCACCAATTTAAAGCTCAAACTCAACCTACATTTGTTGTTTCTAAGCAAAGGTTAGTTAATCATTAATAGGAGTCAAAGTCATTTAGACTTTAAAGGCAACTGGATTTTGTAATTCATTACATCACATCTGTTGACGTTACATCATGTAACAAAAGCATAATTAACTCACTAACAAATTATCTTACTAAGTCAGAAGTTCTCAAACTGGGGGTCTGCGAGAGGTATCTTGGGGGTCTTCAAAAAATTTCACTAGATTGTTAATTTGGTTTTTATTTTTAAAATTCATAGGGAACAATGAACTAATAAAACAAACACAATAAACTAAATAAAAACTATATTCCTGTGGCATTCAGGGTTGAAATGATAGTAAATTACCATTTTAAAAAGCATGGGGTTAAGGGGGTCCCTGGATTTTTTTTTTTTTTTTACCTTAAGGGGTCCCCAGACCCAAAACGTTTGAGAACCCCTGTAATAAGTAACCAATTGACTTAGTAAGTCTAGATGGATATTAGGGCTGTGTATTGGCAAGAATTTGGCGATACGATACATATAACAGAGGGGTCACGATACGATATATCCC